CCCCCCCCCCCCCCCCCCCAATAAAAAGTCATTTTGTTTAGTCCTGCCATAAGTTTTTACATCAACTGTTAAAATCACAATCTGATCCTGAACACAGCAGCTGCAGGAAACGCCAGACATTTTTAAATTTGTGAACGCAGTCATTCATAATTCTGAAGTTTACATTCTGCTTTAGATTTTTAGCACTCAACTTAAACTCCAGCTTCTTCTGAACTTCACCCCAGATGTTGCATGCAAGACTCAGTACGTCCCTTACCATTCCATTTTTTTTTTTTTTACATTAATTGCCATTTTATATGTAGGTTGATCATTTAGAAAACTTTTTAAAAATGTGTTCTATTTTCAAGATAAGCATACAAAAAGGAAAAGCATTTAGAGATACAAGTTTATTTAAAAATATTTATCAATAAAAATTTCAGTTCCAGAACAAAAGGACTCCCATCAGGTGTTCGCGTACTGGTCCAGTTCTTGTCTGCAAGACAAATACATCAATCGTTACAACAGTAAAATAAGTCCTGCATGCTAACGGCAAGTTAAAGCAAACCATCTAAGAATGGCATTTGAAGAGTTGTAAAATGCATATGGATTAAATTGTCAAATGTGTGTATTCCTTAGTTCATTCTGTGCTGCTACAATATTTAGCAGTCAGAAATCACAAGGAAGGCCTAATTTGGCATCTCTATGCAAACCAAGAAGCTAAAGAGTCTGCTCCAGGTCTATCAGTGGATGCAAACTTCATATTTTAAGAAACGATTGCAAGAGCTCACCTGCATTGTACAGTCTTTAACCAATCAGGGTTTCTGCTGGGTCCTATGGTCAAGTGTTACCATAAAACCTGAGACGAGAGAAAGATGATGCATTAGTTCCATCAAATGATAATAGTGTAACAGAAACCTTGTTTTCAGTTTGTGCTTTCCTCTTCAATCCGAGACGCCACGAGTCAAGAGGCGAGCAGAAAGCGTGGAGGAAATTGTTCTGTTGCATCTGTAGAAGTAAAACCCAGGATCTCTCACCACAGAGAGCCCAGGCTGTCAAAGATGCCGCACAGAGCTGATCTGCAGCTATTCTAAATGTGTGAACACATTTGTACCTGCATACTTCGATCCCTGCCTCAAGGTCCTCCTGCTGCTGGTCACTCACAGCCACATGGTCACATCGCCAACATCTGGAGTTCCAACTCTGACATCATCCTCCATCTGCTCCATACAGGGGACTTATCTGGTCATTCTATTAAAAAAAACAAAACAACAACTATTAGGTACTAAAATCTAAAGGGCAGACTCAGTAAATAGCTAAACAGTTGCATTTATACTTTGTAGATTGAATTCAATTGATGCATTCAGTGTCAATTAACAAAAAGTACCCAAGAAGCTAAATCATAAACCTAATAAATATAAAACTATGTTGCCACAATTGAAGCGTTTTGGTATCTGCCAATAATTGCTACTTTGACAAACTTCCTAAAACCTCCTAAATAGTCAAGACAGCATAAAATATAGGGCTAGCATGCTAACGTTTACCTCCGTTTTGGACGGTTTCCCCTCCTTTAAACCACTAAGCAAAGACCAAAGATTATTGCTGGCGTCTTTGATTCTAATAATTTAGCTGTCGCGAACAGTTAAAAAGTCCATGTCCGCTAGCGACGCAAAGTGTAGCTAGCTAACCGCTAATGTGCACGTGCTCGCTTAGCGGTTAATGTAATCAAACTGAGCATGCGCGTAAACAAGTTAGAGCGAAAGTACTCACGAGACACCCTGATGCGTGGAGGAGATGAAGATTTAAAACTCTTCAACATTGCGAACTGGAGCGGACAAACGACAGCCTTGTGCATGAACAGCGAAAGAGACGGTGCGACGTCAGCTTCTACTTTATATAGGTTCCATTAGCGCCCCCTTCAGGAGGTGAAGAAACTCGACTCTATCGCCACCTACAGGCTGGAGGAAGACATGCCTAAAATTACAAATCACGTTTCGTTACTTTAAACACTACTCTTTTAAAATGCACATATTTATCTATATCAAAGTATTTGCTTACCCAACAGGTTTTGGTTTAATAAGCTTAAATATGTTTAATATAGGTGGTAGTTTTGAGAATGGTTTTCTAAAAGTACAACAGTGACACTGAAACGGCCGCACTGATAGTGCTCAAGTAAAATAAATAAATAAATGAATAAAAGACCAGTTAGAGCATGAACGCACACCGAAATAAAACATGAACTCTTCAGGGATGCGTCAAAAATGGATCACGAGGCACACGCGCACGAGCAGGACGCGCGCGTGCCCGCCTCATCTCATACTCAGCTTCAGCTTCCTTCTCACTTCTTAATTGGACTCCGCGAGCTCGAGTTCTCTCCCTGCGTCGGGTTCACGTGGATACATGCAGGCACCAAAGGAGACTTAGAAACAGGTCAGCTCAGCTTTATTTTTCAATAACACGCCATTTATTTCCTGCGGGATCAATAAAGTTCTATCTTATCGTTTAAAACGTTACACAGCTCCCAGTAATCAGAGTAAAACTACGCTCATGAAGACCCTCTGGATACACCTGGAAACGAATGCTTCAGTTTTTGTGTTTGTTTTCCCCACAGAGTGAAGGAAGATGTTCAAAGCTGTGTTTGGAAGCAAGAGGGAGGGAGGAGGGAAACGTGGAGACAAAAAGAGTCACAAACATGCAGGTAAAACCATCTCTGAAGATAAATTAGATACATGTTCTGGAAAAAACAACAAACACTGCCCCTTTTTCCTGTAACGTTTTGGTCCTGGGCATAAATACGCAGTTTATTCATTGCTTATCTTCTGCTATGTGCATCCAAAGTGAATTTGTAGTGCCACACCTGTTTAAGACTGAAATAAAACCATGTAGTTTAGTAGTTTTTTGATCATGTTATTCAAGCTGTCTTCTCCTGGGAGATCCATTTCAATTAACCTAGTTCATCAGTGATGCCGTTCTTCACAAAGTGTCCCACTGCTTTCGTTTTATGTGTGTCAGGCAAAGTTGGAGTGGGTTAACAAACATCCTGGCCTACAAAAACGTAAAGAAATGATCAAGAGTTTGGATGCAAGTAAAAGAAACAAAGGTGCTGCCTCTGCTGCGAACGCCCAGTTTACTGAATTCAGGAGCTGCATGTATTTCTCACAGCTCGACTCGCTGCAGCACAGAGGAGATACACGAACATAAGCAGAGCTCGTATTAGAGCAACCGTGTTGCACGTTAATATTTAATAATTCAGAGAGGAAGATGAGAACTGTGTCAGTCTCTTTAACATCATCTACAGTAGTTTATTTACAGCTCGCCTCAGAGCTTTTGGAGACTTCATCCTCTTATCTCATTTTGACTGGTTTCATTTCATCTTATCTGAACGTTTCTTTTATTTTTACCTCATTTGAACATATCTTTTCTCTAATATTACATCATCTGTTCTCTTCATCTTTTTTGTCTAATATCTTGTATGTTAACTCGTCTCATCTTCATTCTTATTTCATCATTTCTTATTTAAAGTTTTATCTCATCTAATCTTTTTTTGTCTAATTTTATCTTATTATCACATTATATATGTTCTTAACTCGTCTCATCTTCATTCTTATTTCATCATTTCTTATTTCTTCTCTGATCTTCTTTCTCTTATTTTATAATTTCTTCTCTTATCTTACTTCATATCATCTTCTTTTCTAATCTTGTCTCTCATTTTTTCATCTAATCTCATTTTATATGTAACTCGTTTCATCTTCTTTACTCTTCTCATCTTGTTATGTCAAATCTCATCTTATTATCTCAACTTACACTGTATGTTCTCTCATCTTACTTCATTCTTATTTTACCATTTCTTATCTCGTCTTTTTGAATCTCTTATCTTTTACCATTTTATCTCATTTTTACATTTTAATTTTCTTTTCTTCTCTCGTTTAATCTTTTGCAACAAATCTCATTGTATCTTGTTTTATTAATAATAATAATATTAATAATACTTTATTTATAAAGCCCTTTAAAACAACCACAGCTGCCACAAAGTGCTGTACATATAAAATCAAGAACATTTAAACACATAAAAACAGTTGTTAAAACATTAAGATCAATAAAAGTAATAAAAACAGTGCAGATCAAATTCAGTGTGTGCTAAAAGCCAGGGAGTAAAAATGTGTTTTTAAAAGAGTTTTAAAACTGGACAGTGAAGGGGCTTGTCATATCTTTTGTAATCTCTTCTCATCTTTTTATATCTCATATTTTCTTATCTCCTATATCGTTTAATCTAATCTATCTTATTTTTTGTTTTCTTATTTAATCTTTTCTGTATTTCATCGCATATATATTCTCATAATCTTATACTGTACTAAGTATTCTTATCTCCTATATTTTATCAAAACATTTTTTTTCTCTTCTCATCTTTTCTTTTCTTCTTTTTACTTATTGTCATTTTATCCCATTTCATCTTTTGTTTTTCATCTAATCTGATCTCATCATATCTCACATTTTCATAATTCATCGTTTTATTCTCGTCTCATCTTCTTTTCCTACCCTGTCAAAACTTCTATCTTCTCATAATTTCTTGTCATCTCATCTCTTTTGTCTAAGCCTTTTTTTCTCATTTTATTTGATCAAACTGAACTCATATCACCACTTTTCTCATCTTCTCATCTAATCTCATCTTTTCTAATCTTATTTAATATTTTTTCATTATATCTTCTCATCTCATTATGCTTGATTTTATGTAGATTTACTGGATATTTCCACAGGTTTTTCTTTGTTTGTTCTCCATAAGAACAGAAAGACGGTCTCGGTCAGCTCAGATGGAGGTGAAAGCTGAGTTATTTCTCAGAGCAGAACCGTGTCAATCATTCTGGATTGCAGAAACGTTTCCTGGTGTTGCATAATGTCTTTCTGAGTGCACAATCAGGCTTAATGGCTGCAGTTACGATGAATATAAAAATGATTGAAACTTTGCATTTTAATGCGACGGATGGATCAACATGTATTTAACGAAGCTCCGTTGAATTAACACCACCTCTCCTCCATCTCGTCCATGCAGGTGGGGAGGCGCGCACCCCCGGTGCCACACAGAAGGGGAGCAGCCAGCGGGCGGCTCTCCTCCACGGCCGTAACGGCGGCCATGTCGGCACCCCGAGGAGGCCGAAGAGACTGACGAAGGGCGTGTCCATTTCCTTGCCGTCCTCCCCTCTCCTCCCCCACCAGGCCGACATGGTGGCGTCCCAGTCGTGCGTCAGATTTGCAGGTGGGTCGCGCTGTTTGAAGCAGAGCTGCAACGAGAGCAGAATGTTTGCACGGCTTTTCCCTGATTAGGAGGGATCTTCGATGGGTTCCTCACACGCAGAATAAACAGACGGCGTCCTCGGGGTCCAAAAACACGAGGCAGATTGACAAAGTAAATAATTCAGTAAATTAACTAAAGGCGAACAACCCCTAGTAGGATAATATGACTCCAAAATATTCAGCGTATTTAAACTTTAAACTGTGGCCGTCCTTTATTAAATTACAGAAAATATGTACAGGTTTCAAACTTTATATTTAACATGGGACCAGACTGTTGGCCAAACGATGTTATTTATTATTTTCACTTTTTTCATGTTGAAAATTTCTCGTTAATTATTTATCAATTAAAAGCCTAGAATTCCTTGAACGGATGCATATCACCCACCGCCTTTCATGTTATGACTAAGATCATCTGGAAAACATTTTGAGCTGCTGCCATTTTTGTATTTGCTGAGGTGGTTTAGCTGCGGCGGCCATCTTGAATCAGCTTGACTCCAAAAGTTATTCAGTCATAGATGCACAACCCCAGTTCCAACAAAAGTTGGGATGTTTTGTAAAATGTAAATAAAGCCAGGATGCTATAATTTGAAAATCTCTAAAGGATGTTTTATTTACAGCAGAGCACCGGAAACATCCCAAAGGTTTATTTTGAATTTTATAGCATTAACAGATGTCAGCAAGTTCAGGTGTAGGCAACAAAAGTTCCTGAATGAAAGACCAATCTCCATCATCTCCAGGTCATAATCTGATCCACAGATTAGAAGGATCTGTAGAAATCTGAGCTCAAAGGACGAGGCCCTCAGGGGCCACTGCATTAAAACAGTTCTGGTTCTGTTCTGGGCTCAGGAACACTTCCACAGATCATTGTCTGTAAACACAGGTCATCCACAGATGCTGCTTAAAGCTCTATCAGGCAAAGAAGAAGCCAGATGTGAACACCATCCAGAACCACTGCCGCTTTCTCTGAACCAGATCTCATTTCAGATGGACTGAGGTGAAGTCCAGAACTGTTCTGTGATCAGACTGGTCCAAATCTGAAGTTCTGTTTGGAAACCATAGACCTCCATACTAAAGAAGAGGGGAACCATCCAGCCTGCAGTCTGGTTACAGTTTAAAAGCCTGCCTCTCTGATAGTATCGGGGTGCATTAGTGCCTTTAGCATGGGCATCTTACACATCTGGAAAGTAAACATCTATGTGGAAACATCTGCTCTTGTCCATCAGAGAAGCTCCAGGACTGTTGAACAGCAAGAATCCTCCACCAGAGGAGAATGGGACAGTTTTCCCTCCGAAACCTCCCAACAACTGGTCTTCTCTGTAGAGTTGCATTCGGGCCCATAAAATCTGATCCGACGCGGCCCCAGGCCGCAGTCATAATTTCTGAACCCCACCCGACCCAAAGAATTAACAGTAATTACAGGTCCGAACCCGGAAAAAAATCTGACATTTTGAATTAGTTATTAACGGTCGGGGACACGCAGGTGAATAAAAGTGGCAGAAGATTCGGAGCTGACAGGGTGTTTGTCATTTCATGGCCGTAAAAAAACATTTAAACTCCGTTTCTGCCTACGTTCTTCTGAATTAGTAAGACACGCGGACAGCTCTGACACATGCGTCTGCTTTGGGATCTCACCTGTTTGGGTCGTCGGCCGCGTGCAGCGGCAGAATGAACATCCATTTGGGCGATGGCTCGCTGCCTGGCAGTCCAGTCACATCTGAAGCTTAACTGAACTTTTCACCTCTTTCAAGGTTGGTCAGCTCGCAGTGGTGGAGGTATGGCAGGCCATGTTATCATATAATTGGATTACGGCGGATCCTGACTTAATTAAAAGCCCGAGACCGGCCCGGCCCACCCATTAATCACATTAAAACGGCCCGGCCCTAATCCGGGTCGGTCCGGGCCGGGTTTCGGGTTCGGTTTAGAAATGACAGCTCTGCTTCTTGAGTCCTCCAAAACCTCCATCAACTAGTCTCCTCAGGTCCTCTTAAACCTCCAACAACTGGTCTGTCCAGGTCCATCAAAATCTCCAACAGCTGGTCTTCACAGGTCCATCAAAACCTCCACAACTGGTCTCCTCAGGTCCTCCAAAACCGCCAACAGTAGGTCATCTCAGGTCCATCAAAACCTCCAACAGCTGGTCTTCTCAGGTCCATCGAAACCTCCACAGCTGGTC